CTATGTCTGGTTATAGTGATTCTGGTTTTTACAGTGTAGTGCCCTTCACACAGTGGATAGGGTTCAGTTCCCCCCTCTCAGGCAAGAACACTGTGATATACTAGTCCTTGAGTAAGACTCCTAACACTATGTTTGTCTACGTTTGTAACACGACAAAACAAAATCAGTGTTCTAGATAAAAGTGTCTGCCAAATGCATGCAAATGTTTCTTAGGGGTGTAAACTTTGACCTACACCATACAGCAGTATTGCTGGAGAATGTACTTACCCAGCTTGATAAGTGTATTTTGACCAAAGTACGCACATTCTTCACTAAGTGGCCTATTTTATAAAGAGGTCTAAACTTGCAAAACTGATGCTTCACTTTGATGGGTCTCTATGCTTTAATGCATTTTTTGTCCTGAAGGCAGCTCTGAGCACTGGAAATGTCACAGCATTGTATCTTAAAAGAATATCCTGTGCAGAGTGATTGCAACTGCAGGAAGTGTTCTAAGCATATTGCCCCCCCACCCCCCTATGACTTAAGGTCTTTAACAGCTACAATGCAGTTGGGGGTAATCGGTTTCCATGAGGGCATAAAAACCACGTGCTGGATTTATGCTGCAAATCTTCCATTGCACCCTTTAGATTTGTGCCAGCATCTCAAGCCAACAATTCTTGGACCATTTTACAGCCAAAACAAGAATTATATGAAAATGTTTAAGATGGATTGAGAAAGGCTCTCAAGCAGCAAGCACATCAAAGAGCTCAGCTGGACAGCAATGTCATATTTGCACTGGAGATGTCAGCAGGTTCTGCAAATGTCACTGCATTTATGTACTTCTTCATTGAAAGGCTGTGCGCCAGAAACAAAGGTTAATAGGCTAAATTTGACTACAGGCTTTCACAAAGATTGGATTGTTGTGAGGTGACATGCTCACAATGGCTGTGCCGCTTTAGGCGGGTTTCCTCTGTAGTTCCCCTTTTGGACCTATTTGAATTCCTGCCATTGTATAAATGAATCAGCTTCCTCAGAGATGAAGTATACCACGTGAGAGACTTTGTATTTCAGTTTGAGTTTCCCACTCATGTTTTTTTTTCCTGTCTCTGCACAAGTCGAGGAGTTGGTGCATCTTAGTCTTGCGATCACAGAAGTTTTGAAAATGTGCATTTTACCATTTTACGGAGACTTTGTCGGTGCGTCATGTTTTCTCATGCTTTCCCACCGCTTTGCCCCAACTAGATGCATCATGCATTTCCAGTCTCCTGTGACTTTCCTTTTGCGTATGTCTATGTGAGTGAATCAGCAAATTCTCAAACCCCCCCACTGACGTTCTGATTTCCCCAAAGCAGCCTCCCCTCAGGGCGCTTTTGGACTGCCACCAGTCTTTAGGCCCTCATCAGAGTGTGCTTGGTTTGGCGGAACATTCAGTCCCCTCTGTCTTCCTAAACAGCATGATGGACTAATGTTTCACTGTACTCTTTTAAGTACTATGCAGAATGAATGAATCTAACAGGGTCCCCCTGTGGAGAAAGAGAGAGAGACTCCTTTCCACCCTTGACCCGCAGTTCACCCCTGGCAGTAGGAGCTTCCCTCCTGGCCAGATTGGCCTGCTGTGAGTTGGTACTTTACAGTTAAAACATTGCTCAGCTGGAGGCCTGTTCATGAAGCCCCAATAGACAGACTAAAAATGGGATTTGGCAGCCTTTCGCAAATCTGCTTTTATTAAGTCGAAATAAGGGGGGCTACAATGAGTCGGGGACCAAGTTCATTGTTTGAGAATAGCCTTGAGGTGTTTTCACGTGGGGAATGTATTGTGCCATTAAATTTCATTTTCTGATACCAGGTGAAAATACCTTGTGGTAAGTCTTACTGTGTAAAGTTCCAGTTTGGTATCAGTGTAGTACATTATCTGCCTAATAAACTGGGAGTGCTCTGTGTACACTATGGTTTGCATGTTGTAGCATATACTAGAGGCTGGTCATGTAGCAAAAATGTTTGGAATCTTGGTACACCATAAAGAAATAATTTGGCATAAAATTTCATTTACACAATTTTACACTTAGATGCCTAGGTGTAGTTGATCAGCCAAGAGGTGTTTGGTGTGCAAAGTTTGCTTCTTGATTTTAGCACTGGAGCTATGAGGCTAAAGTTGATAACAAACACCAAACATCAGTGGTCACCAAAATCTTTTCTGTAAATACATCCCCAAAGCCTCTCTCAACCCACTTAACCCACATCTAGTTTTGTGTTAGGGTTGTGGAGACCAGTCGATGTGGTTTAGGACACAATATATGATGTAAAAGAAGAACAAAAGAGAACGCTGCTGGCAGCCATTTTCAATAATATGCCAAAATTGGGCATGTACATCATGCAGGCATGTGGACTCTAGATTAGATTGTTCATTTCTACAGTTTTTATTTAGTAACATACCTTCAGAAAATTTAAGATTAAGAATTATTTGTATGTGGAAAAACAACAGAAATTGTAAACGTAATCTTTAGTATCCAAAGGCCTGCACAGCATGTCGTGAGTCATAATTTGGCACATCACCTGTTATCTAAAATGACTGATTGCAGCATTCAGCTACACAGTTTTGTTTATTTTATAGTTCACAGTAAGTAAGTAGCTTAATGAAGACCTGGATGTGGTTTGAGCGAGTGGAGAGATGTTTTGGGAATGTATTTTAAAAATTTGGTGAAAAGTTAATCTTGTAGCTACAGCACTACATTAAAGAGGCAAAATCTGGGGTAACACTTCAGTTGCATAGCCCACTGTAGATGCTTCGTAGATGCTTACTTGGCATCTAACTTAACTTCAACCCAAAACTTAAACCTTGCCCTCAACCTAGTTCTAAATCTAACCCTGCTATAAATCTATACCCTGATCCTAACACTGATGACAATCAACTGAGTTTCAAAAGATAGTTTGTTATTAATTTAGAAAATCTATAGATAATCTGTTGGGGGCAGTTCATATAAAGTAAGGCCAAATTTGGACACTAAACATGCCTTTCCTGGTCAACTACGTCTGAGGTAAGTTTTATGTTGTTTAAATAGATTTTTCACCACACTATTTATTTCATTTTTTCTGAGGTTTGATAACAGGTTGGAACAGACACAGTACACCAGCAGAACCATAACATTTGAAGAAAAAAAAAGCCATAATATTTCTACAATATTTTTTAATAATTGTCAGAAGATACTCAATGTAATAAAGAACTCAATCTAATAAGGAACAGATTTGTACAAACTCTCTACAGTTGGTCCAAATCTCTATTTTAATTCAATTAGCATTAAATAAGAAAAATAAGCATGCAATTAGCCAGTGTTCTAGAAATACTGATGATTTCCCACTATGTGCTCAGGAAAGCGTATCATAACCTAATTTATCACAGTAACTTTCACATATTGTGGTATCAGCCACTCATAGCCCACTCTAAATAAGAGGTACCTCTTAATTCCGCATAGTTAGCATGCCTGAGAGTACACTCACACTACGGACATCCTTTGTGTTTTATCTCTGGCATTTTGTCAGCGAGCAACGGGGAATGGTTGTGGAAACGGCAGGTCTCACCATTCCATGACCAGTGAGGTGTAAGACGCCACCTACTCACTCGCTGCCGGGTCGTCATAGCAACAGCTGTACGGGTTGTGGGCAGTGAGCGACTGACTTGTTACCGAGTAGCAGAAGGGAAAATGTTTCTGCCGCTTTTGATAGCAGCTTGTGCTGAGAACAGACCTCAAGTGATTGACTTTTAATCTGTCGAACAAATTAAGTAAGAGAGGCAAAGCCAAGGCAGCATGTCTCCCTAATTATGTTTTGACTATGAGGTGCCGAAGTGCTTAAACCTATAGCCGTATGTTAAATACGTCTGACAAGGCTTGATTGTGCAAGTCTCATTTGTCCTCTGCCAAATCTATGTTTACTTAAAAGGTCAGTCAAGGGAACAGAGATGCTTACATAAAACACAGACTGGAGGCCTCAAGACTGATTGGACACATTTGCTGTATTAAGGACCAGGCGTCAGGGAGTCGTCTAATTGCATTTAAATCACGTTCTATAGTTCTGATTGCTAATATTATAGTGCTTCTGTCCAGAGGGAAAAAATGTGAGACCATTTAGAACTGTTTGCTTATATTTATCTTGGCTGATGTTTTGTCCAGTAGGTGGTGCTAGCAAACAACTGTATGTCAGGAGCAATGGCCTTTATTTATTGAAGTTGCATAAAAAAGCGCACAGATTTGACTGCCTTTTATGACATACAAGCTACTGTGTCTGATTCATAAAGCATTTGCATGAATTGAGTTTTGAAGTGGAGATTTGAGCGCAAATGATGAATCAGCTTCCGTGCATGAAATCAAGCGCCAGCCTGCCTGTGCCTCATATACATGAAGCACACAATAATTCGAGCAGATGTTTTGATAGGGAGCCAACAGAGTGACAGCATTCAGTAGCACATGAGCCAATGGCTGTGCTCATAGGTGGAGTTTGAGGTTGAGCAGTGAGTGCGGTTCCCCCTACTGACCAAACTTTTTATAGTGTTAAAATTCTGACGACTGGATAAAATAAAGTGTGAAATTTTTCTGCAATAACATTTTTAAATGCCATATTATTGCAGTGTATGAGATGGTTCTGCACTGTTTATATTGTTTATTGTTTAGTTTGTGGTCAGTGTCAGTAGTATAAAACAGCAGCACAGTGCAATTTTATAGAACATAGAATAGTTACAGAATTTGTTTATACCCATGTGTGAATGTGAGAAGTACTGGATTATTATTTTTATATTCTATTTTTATTCTCATTGTTAGTGTTATAAATTATATTGCTAATAGTTTTGGTTAAGTAACCTTTATAATCAGATTTGACCTTGCACAACTTGTGAATCAGCGGCAATGAATCTTGAATCATTTTCAACAGCCTTGCAAAAAGCAGAACAAGAGCCAATTTTTCTGGTCAGTGAACATGTGTAATCTTTGTTTGGCTACTTTTTTTAAAACCATATTTTGTTCTCTCTGCAGAAGCGGCGGAGGCGTATTGACCGGAGTATGATTGGCGAGCCCACAAACTTTGTCCACACGGCCCACGTGGGCTCTGGAGATCTGTTCAGTGGCATGGACTCTGTAAGTGCAACTGAACCAAACCAAAAAATTTACTCTTGCTCAAATGAGTTGCTCATTTGTACATCACATGTTTTCATTGTGTACAAAGCCTTATTAATACTAGTGAATACAAGATGTACAAGATATGTTATGCATGTGGAAACAGACGTACTGCGTGTAGTTAATATTAGTAAGGTACTTTAAAAGTGCTCTGCAGTATCTTAAGGCCTTTTTATTTATTAAATAGGTGAACTCAATTCAGAACCAAATGCAGTCGAAAGGTGGATATGGAGGAGAAGCCATGCCCATCAATGTGCAAATGCAGCTGGTGGACACAAAAGCAGGATAATATGTAACTTGGAGAGGTAAGTGATTTTCTGAAAAGCCTTTATAGATTGTATTAAAATGATAGTTTGGACAAAAAAGAAATTTACCCCCATTGTACCCCCAAATGTAGTCGATCAGCCAAAACTTGTTTGTTGACTGTTTGCATCTTTAGTTTTGCGCTGGAGCTACTAGGCTAATGTAGCTAGTAGGTAATGGAAGCTTATATCCCACTAATTAGCTCTGTGCCAACTGCCTGCCTACATCACTACACAAGTGTCTCTAATCATGTAGCTAAAAGCAGACATTTTAAACCTGAATTTTGATTGTATTTTTGTCAGTTTTTGAAGCAAATAAAAAGCTGCTGCCTTTAGGCCCTCAGACTACACAAGTGCCTACTTGGTTTGTGTGATTTTGACATTGCCTCTACTGTTGTTTATAATTTATTTCCAAATCTTGTGGTCCCAGGAATAGAGCTAGTGAATTAGCTTTATCGCTCTTGGATGCCCCGCTCTAGATTTCACCTCCAACCTATCATGGATGCTGGCATTACCATAAATTCGCAGCATTGAAAATTTGTTTTTTCATAATAGGGGCCTTTTCCAATAAACATTATTCATATTCATGTTCCTTTTTTCCCTTGAATGACTTCATAGCTTTGTAGTCAAGTTGAAATTGTGTTGTGCTTTTCTCAAGTAGAGTCATGTTACATTCAGTGCTGTTCCCTTCTCTTCCAGCAGGCCTCTCATAGATCAACATCCTGATTCTGAAGATGCCTGCCTCCGGTGGCCTCCATCCACCTGTCTTCAGTGACTACTCCCAGCCTCCCCCTGTTCTCACCCAGCAAACACATGGACAGTCATGCACTCCATGGGAATGAGGATGCCCTGCCTGCGGCCGCCGGTCTGCTGGACCAAAGCAGTGCTTCAGTGTCATCTCCACCCCAATAACGGACGCTTACTCGCTCGCATGCTCCCTCATCGCCGTCCCGTCTGCCTAGCAGTGCAAAGTGTAACCTCGCTTTCTTTGTCTGTGGTTTGCCGTGAACAGCTAATTTCTGAGCACTCTATTTGAAGGTCTGGAACCTACAAGTACAAACTGTTTATTTTTTCTTTTGTTTTGTTTCGATTTTTTTTTCTTCACAGACAGACAGACTTTGAGTTCGAAGACTGGCGCCAAGCCGCCAACGATGTTTGTATAAAAAGTGGCTAGCGATGGCCGTGTGGTGCCAAAATGCTTGTTACAATGGAATGATGGCTCTCTGCTGACAAGAAGTACCTTCTTTTATTTGACCTAGGCACGAACGAATGCCATTCTGTAGGAAATGTGATAGTTACTTCGCTGTTTACATCGTTTCAGTCCACATTCCTTGTATCTTTATTTTTTCTTGTGATAATGATATGATTAGACAAACATTGACTGATGTTGAAATGCACAGCCGGCATTTCGCTCAACGTTCTGCTGTAAATGTTTTCCATAAACTTGATATGAAGATGCTCAAGCTATAGTCGTATGCTGTACAGTTAATGTGGAAAAAAAGACAATGTAGTCTATGTCCTAATGCTCTATGCTGATGTGGCGAAAATATTTATATGATTGTGGAATCCTGACCATGGGGCCAATTGACTGTCCTTGTCTACATTAACAGTAGACTCCTAGTCTTCTATGAAAGACAGAAATACCTCTCAATGCAAATAGTGGTCTTTTGGAGTAAATGTATTTAGGTAATATCCTAGCAATTTGAGTCAAATGCCTGGAGGATGGCATTTATACACAGAATAATCTACCGTCAAATCCTGCAGACATTGGTCAGGTTGAGAAACTTATTTTTCTAACTTCTATGTTTCAAGTAATTGAAGATAAATTTAATAAAATTGCACTAATTGCTCTGCATTATAATGCAAAAATTCTGAAAAGTCCTGCAGCTTGTTCAGCTAGATGGCTCTAGGTGAGCCATGCTAGGCTCTTTAAATCTATGATTCTATAGGTCAATGATGGAATTCCTTTCTCATGATTTGCCACCTAAATATTGTGATCAATTTCAGATATGAGTAGTTTTCCAGCTGACATCATGACAGCAAATCACATTATGTAAAGACCACTAAATCAGGGTGAATGTGTCTCAGATTGGAACAATGCAATGCAATGGCCCATGGAAGTCAAATAATCACGTGTGTTTATGGTAAATGAGAGAAAAAGGCCATACAGTATAGGAACTAACAGCTAAATGTATGTATTGGTCCCCGTTGTCCTTTTGTCTTTTTCTCAAGTGCTTTCTGTTTGTATATACTGTATGTTTTGTGTGCCACAACCTGATCCTAATTTATTTTCCCTTTTTGCATTGTTTTTTTGGTCCATTTTTACTGTCATCTCTTTTAAAATGATTGGGTTTCTCTTATTCTGTCTCACTATTGTCAAAATGAATCATTTTGGCAATATTTATTAGTTCAGAGCTGGACGAGGAGGAACATTTCCTGGCACTCACATGGAGATGTGTTCAAAAGATCAACAGCCAGAGACCTGTGACATCAGAAGACTGAATAGATTTGCTAATTATCAAGTTCTTGCAATCTAGTCATATTTTGGCCAAAGTGGTATCACTGACATGCAATACATAACAAGGACTCGACTCTCAGCCTTTGTTCACCACAAATGGATTTCATCATCAGGGAATTCAACAAAACCAACTGTTACTTTAGCTGTCATGACATATTTTTCTACACTCCTGCTTATGTTACTTTGCATTCTATCTTGGCTTGTAGATGACCAAATGTGTTCTGTTAAAATAAATATTTTTTCCATGTTACCTGACTTAATCTATGAATGCACATCAATTAAGAAAGCTTTGCGTGTCTTGAAACTTTTCATATACCAAACAGTCAAATTTTAAGTGTAAAGTGAGAGTAAAGCATTTGTGGAATAATTCATTTTATATGTTTACATGCATTAATATTTTTATGTTTACTGCGAGATTGACTACAGGTGAGCACTATGAGTCAGTCAGCAAAAATGATAAAGTCTGTGTGAATTGGCTTGCTTCTTACTGTGATGCATTCCAAGAGCTCTTTCAGAAACACTATCAGTGAGGGTCTCATAGCTGGCTAAATGTGGGGGTGAAGGGAAGAGAAGGAGAAACATCATATTGCTTAATATTACATTTACAGTGACATTTTAGAGGTGGGTAAAAGACATGGCATGTTCATAAAATTATGAGAAAAAAATTGTCTTCTAAATTATATCATAAATTGCACTTAATATGAACAGGTACATGAGCTAGCAAGGTAAGAAAAAGGCCCATTTTGTTTTCAGGTTGATATAAAAGTGAACTGTTATTGTTAAAGACGACAATACAGTAATCTCTCATTTACCAGTTGAATAGAAACGGAGATCTACACAAAGCCTACAAAAGCCGTAGCACATGATCTACATCACTTTCATGCTCATAACTTCTCTCAGTGACCCTTCAGGAACCTGTGGACGGCATTGTCATCAAGAGACCACCCTCTTCATGACAGAAAGTCTACACAGCAGAGCATGGTAGGGTGCTAGTTGTTTAAATGTATCATGCAGTACTTGTTACGTTTCTCTACTTATTTATTCCTAATTATAACTTATAATAATACTTGTTATATTTCTCTTCTTATTTATTCCTAATTTGTCACCTGTGTGTATATAGTTCTTAAAGAACCTTTAAAAGTAGTTCTATATGCAACCCTGTTTCCACTGAGAAGTTTTACTGTTTTTTTTTTTGTTTGTTTTTTTGTTAAATATGCCCATTTTAAATTTGATGCCAGCAATGTTTCCAAAAAAGTTGAGACGGGCAACAAAAGACAGGTAAAGTTGAATAATGATAAAAAAAAACACCTGGTTGAACATCTAACAACTAATTGAGATAATTTGCAACAGGTCAGTTATATGATTGACTATAAAAAGCATCCCAGACAGGCTGAGTCTTTCAGAAGTAAAGACTGAGAGGGGTTCACCACTCTGTGAAAGACTGCATGGGCAAATAGTGCATCAAAGGCAAGAATAACATTTCTTAGTGTAAAACAGCAAAGAATCTAGGGTACATTATATCATTCAAGGATTCAGAGAACCTGGAGAAATCTCTGTATGCAAGAAACAAGGCTGAAAACCAATACCACTGGTTTGCTCATGGGGGCTTGGACACAGATTTTTCTCTAATGCTGCTTTGTGACAACACCTGTTGTAAAAAGCGCTGTATAAATAAACTTTGCTTTGCTTTGCTTAAAAAGGTTTTTCTGTTGTTTAGGTCAAAGAACGTTTTTTGTTATAGAGAATGCTTGCGGAGTTTACCAATATACTGTACTAATGAATGTACTAATAGCAGTGGTTTACTATTCTGACATACTGTTTAGTTTGGTAGTACCAGTGACAAAAAATTGAAATTATTACAGCCTGGCTTTCAGTTCAGGCTATAAATTTCAAAACAGGGTCAAAAACAGAAAAAAATTGCTTCTGTGCTGCACATGGGATTCTAGTACCGTGTTAGACCTAAGCTCACGGCAATTCACATGAACAGTTTTTGGCCACTTAACCACAGATATATGAAGCTTGTAAAAGACAATCCATTAAATTCAATTTGAAGCTTAATATATTTTACCTTACTGTATTTTGCAGTTTCACAGTGACTTTTTTCAGTTACGTCTGGCACAGAGCCACTGCTGCTCGCGTGTTAGGCCTTCAGTTCAGCTCCTGAAGCCCTAACCAATGGGAGAACTTGCTTAACTGTAACTACCTTGATACCACAGTGAAGAAATATCCTTTTCTGTTGGACGTTTCAAGAATTCAACCCTTTTGTTCCAACAAAAACTTGAGAAAGAAATGTTGCTTTATAGATAAAGTAACTACAATACCTGATGAGGTTACGTACAACAAGCAAGATGATTATATTAAATTATATTAAATCTATTCCTGAGTCTTTGTTTCTATTGTCTTGCTCATTAATGAATTCATTTGTTAAACTACTGTCTTTTTTCTGTAAAACCTGTAAAACACAATAAATTATAACTTGCTCGGACAGCTGTGTAAACTTTGGGGATTTGGAGACCCCTCTGGTGAAAATTAGTAATTGCATTCAACATGCAAAATAACGTTTTGTAATGTCTGTAATGTTTTGGACCCCCTTGAGTGGATAAATCTAAAGATTGTGAGCACACTGAAAGAGTATTTAAAGAGAAGCCAGTCAAAACTTGGTAAGGGGCATGTCTCTCGAGGATATTAGTGAATTATCTACTATTATCATTACATTTTCATCAGTATAATGTTGATTTTACATTTGAGACCTAAACATCGAGCTGGATCTTCTTTTTGAGTCTGTTCGTGTGGCGGTAACACGTAAAGACGCATAATATGGTCTGAAAAGCTCCGACAACATCAGCCCAGCCACACTCTTGAATGACTATTTTCAGGTTTTACAAAGTGACTCAGTGTTTTTTCTCCTGTTTCGACAAAAAAATCTTACATAGTGCAGCTTTAAATAAAACCGTACTAAAAATTAGACCTTTTCTTGGAATCATTAGGCCTTCTCTGAAGGTCTAGAAGGTCCTGAGAGTTCACCTTTGCATGGTATCAAAGGCCTTACAACGTCTCTGGTAGAATGCAGGCAGAGTTTAACTTGAATGTGTTGTGTGCTATGTACTCTCCTGTGCAGTATGCAGCTCAGAAGGAGTGGATGGGTGGGAAAGCAAATCCCTCTCAATGTCCCCTCTGTGAGCAGATTAGCGGTGTGGTGGACTCAGGTTAGATAATCAACACATGACACACTGACCCAGCAAAACAGAGCCAGCTAATGCAACAAACACACCAGCACCAGTGTCACACCCACACAAATGACATTAAGGAAGGAATTAGTGGGAGAACAAGGTCAACAGTCAGTGGACAAGGAAAATGTGCATGGCTCACTGAGGAGCGCTGAGACGTGTTTTACCTCAAACATCATCTAAGGAGTGCTGTGTGGTAGAAAGTGTCAGTAGCTCTTTGTGGTGTACCCCACCTCAGTGTAGGACTTGATCATTTACATTTCGCAAAGCTGCAGGCTGGAGCTCCCTGCTGTTGCTAGGCAACATGGTGGCCAGCAAATCAAGAGGTTTGGTTGATGACGTCTTCCTGGGCGATGACTAGCTCTTGAATGAAATCAAAGTGCACAGTGTTTCATGAACAGATTCGCTGTTGTGAGAAGATCTATGGCTCACCTTTATTTTTGAATTAAGACTTTGTACTTTGACGTTACTGTGCAGGAAAGCAATACCATAGAGTATTAGCACTGGGGTGATCCAAACACTCCCAACCTCCCTCCTGAGACTCACTGCCTAAGTAGTCTACTGTTATTTCTACCAGCCACGCCCGCTCTGTTGACATTTCAGGAAAGCCTATGCACAATGCTCTTTGAAGCTGAGCGTGTAAGGGGGCCTGTATGAATGCGTGCACACAAACCACATACAGTCATGGAGTGGAAGAATGGAGTGGTTGTGAGTTGGATTTGAACTGTCTTGTTATGCAGGGCTTTAACTGCTTTTGAGTGACTTTGTAAATACATCCTTCACTACGCTGCTTCAAGAGAGAAGTTCATGCCAGTCACAATGTTCCCATATGGAAAAACATACAATCGTAAAAGCTTATTTTTAACATTTTTTTTCCAAACTGCACATTAAAATTACATGTTAACTTGTGTTGAAACATGTGAAGTGTTAATTATGTTTTGTTACAAAATCAATAAAACATGTAATTTAAAACTTTTGCATACAGTATACATTTGTTTTCTATATGATATACATTTTAAACCATTTCAAACACTAAAATGCATATCAGAATATCTTGTCTGTACCTAAAACATTTGACAATAAATTTGCACTATTAAAATGCTTGGTTAACTATTAAACATGTAGATGAAAAATTAAGATAAATGTTAACAAATATGCATTTACCATGCCAAAACTGAGTGTTGTAAGTGTTAGAGCCCATATCTCACTCATTTTGTAGAAATGTATTTTCTTTTCCCCTGTGGTCCACTTATGTATATTTGTGGGTTTATGTACCAAAAGCAGTCATAATTTATTTTTACATGATCATTTTCCAACATTTCTGTCCTTTAGAACTAAGGAGGCTGTTTTTGTTACTGACAGATTATATCTAAATGTTCTCTGTTCTGATTGGCTGCCCTGTACCGTGCCTCATTTAAAAAGCAGTCCAGGCTGAAACACTCCTTATAACTTCAGCATGAATGAGCCGAACTAAACTGCTAAATTAGACAGATATATGTAAATGACATCACAAAAACTGTAAATTCAAAATGGACATTTTTTTGAAGTTTAGTTTTCAGTGTTGGACTGTTTGGACTGGGCAGTGACTGATACATTTTAAAACTTTAACAGGGTTTATATACTACATCAAACTCTTTTCATTAAAAAAAGTAATTTTCTATAATATGGGGCCCTTAATATACTGAAGATTTATGTGGTTGGATTTATAAATTTTTTGTTCTTTCAAAATATGTTTGTGTCAAAACTGTCATTGCACTATAATGTATTATTGCATTGTAATATAACAAAAACATCAAATACATACATTTTCACACATTGCGAAAATGTATTTGAAAAACACACTTTGGATAAATATTTTTCCACGTGGGTTGACATCACACACAAAAATATTGTCTTTCTTAAAAAAACAAAATACATGGACCTAGAACTTGCCAATATTTCCTTGTGTGATAGTTTAGTTTTGCCTTATTCCATCACAGTACTGTTTAAACTTGTCATGCTAAAATTCCAAACACCCAGTTCT